AGGGTGTATCCTGTATTGTGACAGTCCACCAGGTTTCATGGGTCTCTTCAAATCCCTTACAACTGAAGGCCTTTAAAAGCCATTAAATCAGTCCTGTTAAGATGACAATTAAATTAGAGGCTCCGATCCTCAAGTTTGTGCATGACTGGTGAAAAGAATACATGTGATGGATTTGTAATGTTCATTTCTCAGGCAGCTGATGGATGGAGATGGCAGAAAGAACACACTAGTTCATCAGGCATAGGACTGGAACAGCCCAGCAGTTCCGGGATTAGGAGTGTGTGCCTTCGTACAGAAGAGAAAAAAAGCAATTCAGATGAGAAATTAGCTGACATTTTAGTTTGGGAGGCAGAGTTTCATTAGCAAAATATGTCACATGAGAGCAATTATGTCTCATTTCAAACGACCAGAATTCAAATAGAACCACATCTGCTGTTCTCCATGTGTTTTGTTTCAATTAGTTGCATATCCTGCTCTGCTGACTGATGTATGATCACAATTTGCGTTGCATGTGGATGCTGGCATTCAGACTCCCTGCCATCTTGTTCTGCTGCCTTACCACGCTGTCTGGAGCTTCTGCTAATGCATTATGATCACATTTGTGTTTTCAATTAAGCCCAACATTTACCAGTTGACCGAATTCTCACAAACACCTGTTAATAAGTAAACGCAAAGCAGAAAGGGGAAACGATGAAAGACGTCTACCCTCAGCATAACAGAAATTTTTGTAGCAAAGACACCCAATGCCTGAGGAGTGTTTATAAGCACGGGTAGCCATCTTTTTGTCTATCCATCCATTTTTTAAAATGCTTCTTCCAGATAAGGGTCACAGAGAAGCCAGAGTCTATCGCAGCAACCAAGAGGCGCAAGGCAGGATACACCCTGGATGGAACGTCTGTCCATCGCAGGGCACACATAGATAGACACACTCTCACACCAGGGCCAATTTTCCCAGAAGCCAATTAACCTACAGTACCAACATGCCTTTGGACTGTGGGTGGAAACCAGGACACCTGTGGGAAACCCACACAAATATGGAGAGAAGATCCATAAAGTACCCCTGGTTCAGAATGGAACCCAAGGGTTGGAAGGCGACAATACTCAGCACAGAGCCACCCTCTTCATGCACGATACGTATGATAACATCCTAGTAGACTTTTAGCCCAGTCCATCCTGGGACCACAAGAACATGATTACAAATGACAGGAGGCCATAGATCTTGAAGAGTATAAGACACACTGAATTATTTATTACAGACTGTGGCAGGTCTTGAGTATGAATCAGAGCTTGATGGTAGCAGAGCTGGAGAGCGATGAAATGCAAAAGTTTGTTTTGCTCACAGAAGCCAGAAGGCTTAACGAGCTGTCTTGCTCAGACAGGGTAACCAACCCCATTGAGGCGCATCAGCTGTAACAAATCCTAAGGATAATGGAAAAAGAGCCTATTTTATACAAGTTCTATATAAGCTGGAAGATGAAAGAATCACTGCATATACCATTTAACTGCCCTGACTAACAGAATACACACCTTGTATTATTTAGACCTGTGCTTTTAAAAATAAATTCCCCAAAACACACTTGTTTAACTCTAGGAACATCACGGCTGTGTGTGCACTGCACGTCCTTGATAATGAGAAGTTGGAAATAATGCCAAAATCAGATTTACTTTAGCTATATATGTAACAGAAAAATGCTTTACTGTGTTCAAACAAAATGCAGAGGGCTTTGAGAAAACATCCATTGAAAGATGTAAAAGTAAAGAGATCTGAGGCGTGAATCCCCTGTCTTTTTCTACCCCCACTGACCTAGATTTTCTTTAACAAGCAAACCTCATCATTCAACAACGGCATTCAAAGAAACACTACAGCACACAATTCCAAAAGACTGCTGTCATTAGTACAAGAACAGCCAGTGTCATTCCCAACTCTAAAACCGAGTTTTTAGTTGCTCCAAGACTGACAAAAAAGACTGACTCAACCAGGAATTCAAGATATTTGCTAAATATCCACTGCTAATTGTGTGTTAACTTAATTCCGAAATCAAACAGCTTCATTACATTATTTTCTTTCAGCCACCATTATTTAAAAGCTGCCTATCATTACCTGCTGATATTGAATCTATATTGTGTTTATCTATATACTGTAAATCTATAAATCTTACTGTCCCATCAGATCAAATACTAACTGAACAGATGTCTCGCCTGATAACTGACTGGAATTGTGAACAACTCATCATGGAAGACAAAAAGAAAGTAGAAACCTGTTATGTAAAAATGAAAACGTATCAATCAAAAACGCAGATCAGGCTTACTCGTTCTTATTTCTTTTTCGCAGGTTTATTGTCAGGACGCAACAAGATAATCGATTTAAATAGACGTATCAAAGCAACTTCGAAATGCCATTCTGTTTGAACGTGTCCGGCTTTCCTGAAACCAGTTAAACCAACGACAATACACACCAGATGATTGAAATGCGTTCTCTATCAAGAATTTCAAACCACGTTTGGAGCTGCTGTCCCATCGAACCATAAGGAAAGAGCGCCACCGAGTGATACAATATTTCAGCTGTACCCAAAATTGTACCGAACAGGAAAATGGATATATCGTAGTATTGATTTGCAGCGAGCAGTGAATACGGGCGTATGCAGATCTTTGATGAATGCGAGTTTGGGATATCCGCTGTGTTTCAGAGTGTAAAAAAGTATTTATAAAAGCGATGCACAAACTGGTACACTAATATCACGGGTGCTGTGCATACAGTTATAAAGTTGCTTTGCCTTTAAATGCACTGTGTAGAATAATAAAAATGTGACAAATATAAATAAAACAATGGACGAAGCTTCACTAAGGCGCCAGTAATAAAAGCTAGCACTCGTTAAAACGTCATCAGTAATTGTTTCTTAAGCAATTGTGATAAAATAATAACTCGACGCCGATTGAAGTTTGCGGCGTGATCCACATAGCATTTCTAGTTCAGAAGAGCAAATTCAGATTTGCTTACAGAACACAGGCAGTTACTAAAAACGTTATTAAAACTTAATGTGCCCCCACAAAAGTCAGCCTCGCTTTAATTTACGGTGCACGAGATTAATAATTTACATTTAATATCCCAAATATCCCATTCTTCCCGCAGAGGGGAAGACAATCACAAGATACCCAAATATTTTCAAATGTAGACTCACGTAATCTAATTTGTTTGAGAAATAATTATAAATACACCTACCTTTCAAGTCTCACGAAATTATGACAACATAACTTTGCTAAAGCGCCAGTCTTAAAATGAAGTAAACAGGCTTCATAAGGAAATTGATTAATCTAAGACTAGAAATATCTCGGCTGCAGCAAAGATGTATGAAAAATCGCCTCTTTTATAAAACAGCGCTCTGGTAGCGGATTTTGCCTCAGTGATAAGATTTATTTTAAATACGCGTCACCCTGTAATGATTTTAATTGGCCTGGGAGGCTGAGGCGGCGAGACGGACTGCTGATGAGCCGGATCAGGGTGTCTGTCAATCAAAGCCTTGACTGTATAAATCCTTCCTCCCACCTCGCTGCCTTCATTTTTGAAAAACTCACCAGTCCCATACGCGCCAGAGTCAAAGCACATCCGAATCCATCTGCAGCTGAACTCTGTGCCGTACTCCAAAAGCAACTTTGATAACTTTTTTTTTTTACTATTCCCGCGTGGGTTTTGATTTTGTTTTCCGCCTTTTCGGACGCGATGGATAAGTTACTGACGAGCAGTTTCAACTTCAGCACCGCGAACAGCTCCGCGCACAAACCCACTTTCCCCGAAGGTGGCGGCTATCAGCACCTGGACTCCCCCGAGCTGAAGGCTCTGATCCCGGCGGTACTGGGCGTGATCTGCGCGCTGGGCTTTGCGGGCAACCTCACGGCCATCGGAGTCCTGGTGACCAACGCCCGCAAGGGCAAGCTCTCGCTCATCAACTCCCTGATCCTGAACCTGACGCTCGCCGACGGGCTGGTGCTGGCGTTCGGGGCGCCCTTCAAGGCGGCGGCGTACGCCAAAGCCAGCTGGACGCTGGGGTGGTTCGTGTGCAAGACGTGCAACTGGTTCCTCCACTCGTGCATGGCGGCCAAGAGCTTCACGGTGGCCGTCATGGCCAAGGCCTGCTTCAGGTACGTGAGCAACCCGACCAAGCAGGTCACCATCCGCTACAAGACCATCCTGTCCATTCTCCTGCTCTGCTGGCTGCTGGCCTGCCTGGTTCCCCTCCCTCACTGGCTGTTTGCGACGCTGAGGCGCGAGGGGGTGGGGCTGCTGTGCGTCCAAGTCATTCCTGCGTCTGCCTCCGACTTCATGTCCGTCTACGTCTACCTCTACCCCCTGGTGGCTTTCTGCCTCCCTCTGTGCTTCGCCCTCCTCTACTTCTGGAGGGCCTACAGGAGGTGCCAGCGGAGGGGCACCAAGACCCAGAACCTGAGGACTCAGATCCGCTCCCGGAAGCTGACGGTCATGCTGCTGAGCCTGGCCCTGACCTCCGGGACCATGTGGCTGCCGGAGTGGATCTCCTGGGTGTGGATGCGGCACGCGGCCCCCGGGGG